GGCCCAACTGTCTTTTTTGGCCCCCTGTATAGCGCCAATCTTAACCAGAATGTATGCCACTCGAGCATTACATAGCCACGAAATGGGCAAGGCGTGCCCACGTACAGTCACTACGAGGGGGTGTGAATGGGCGTGGACTGCACGCAGTCATAACAGCTTTTTCAACCAATACTTGCCTGTGCAAAACGGCACCAATCGATGGAAAAGGCTGCCGTGGCTGCGCCATTTCACACCCCGCCACACGCCCTTTCGTTTGCAGGGATAATGGCCTTACTTGCATGTGAGCGCGGCAGCGACCATGTGCATATTTGTGTACAAATGAGGGAGAGGACAAAGAAGCGCGAAACTTGTGTCGACTTTGTTTTGTGCCATTCCGCTCTCTTATTTCGCCTTCTGGGGCAGTCTAGCGCCGCCACGATTGCAATTGAGTCTTGTACACGCCTTTTCGATCCTTAGGGTCTAAGCTGGGCTGGCGTCAAACTGAGATCAGCGCCAGGCGTTGTCGTGACCACAAGTCAATTCAGTAAGTGAATCTTGCTGAGAAAGTCGTCCATTTCATCCTGAATGATGAAAACACTGGCTGAAGAACTGTAGCCCATCAGGCATTTCAGAAGCGAAGCACAAATTCCAACGCTTTCATGATTCCGAACGGATATTGGATGCACAGCGCGCTCCAGTGGTACCAACGGGGACTAATCATTGCCAAACATTTTTAGCCATCATCATTTCTCAATCGTCGCCTTTTCCACTTCTACACCCCTTCCCCCACCCTGCTGAATGATCCATCAGAGGTTGGCACCACCTTTCTCTGTGCATTGGTGATAGTGAATCATAGGCGTCTTCTTTGAACGGCTAGAAATTGTTTGCTTCTTCCTCCGAGCGACGCGCAATGATTTCCTCGACGCCAGACAACTGGTTACATAGTAGTCATGAAATGGGAGAAACTCTAGTAATTGCACCATTAGATTTATGACGACATAACAGCAGTCTTCAGAAGTTAATTGCCCTCAACTAGCACAATGAAAGAAATTAGTCAGAGAAAGTCCAAAGAACGTCCTCTGTGTTCAGTGGGGGTTGATCGGCTTAGAGGGGCATTTTGCAATCGTTGCACACTATTTTGTTAGTTCATGTTAACCAACAGGTCTCACTCTCATGGGACCTGTAAACTCCTATGATGGTATGAGATGGTACGAGTGAATTACTTTGGTTATAGGACTTGAAAAGGTCCTCACAATTGACCTATTATGTAGCTTTGTTCCATCCGGTGCCCCTCCGAGCCGAACTCTGCCCCTATATGTCCAAGGATCTTTTCAAGAAATGAAGAACTGGTGCTATGCTCATGAGAGCCATGAATGAGGTCCATCACAGCCTGAAGTGACCACACGGAAGGACCAAATTCAGGCTCAGGGGGATTCACGATCTATGAAAAGAAGCCGGCATCTCGAGCTTTGTTTGCGGTGGAATATTAGGAATGCTAGAGAAAAGGGATAAGAGATTAGGGCCCTGATGTCGCTCGCTAGTCAGAAAAACAGCCGCAAAAACCCCTGCGCTCGCACCAACGGCGCGAAGGACAAGCACTATAACGCCAAGTGAATGTCCTATTCCTACCTAAAAAGTGCCATCTACCCTCGGAAACACCCTTCAATGAACAACTCGCTCAGCGTTGCGAAAAAAGGGTCATAAATAATCCCATATCGTTCAATCTAACCTTCCCCCGTAAATAATAGCACCCCGAATGTTCACCAGCGTTTGGTAAAAATCTGATCTGCGTACAACCGTTCCGCAACTTTTTCAAATAATGGCAGATTTTTTGACTACTTTAGGACGATGATCTAAGGAGGTGGTCGTCTGAAGTGGCTAAAGAAATCGCCGAACAGAAACCCGAGTTCGCCGTGGTTCATGTCCAAGGACTCCATTCGGCAGATGATCCTGATTACATATCCCGAGTGATTATCAGCGGGTATACATTTTAGGGAGTGTCATCACTTCAAATTCGTCCAGATCTAGAAAAAACTCTTGCAGGATACTTGATATTCCTGAAATTCACAAGCATTTCGATTCTTCGGTGGCATTCTTCGATACTACTATTACGGTAGGTGCTCAGCTGGGGAACATTACAAGAGCAATATAGTAACTTTATGCTTTCAGGGCCTTGGCAATCTTTATTTGTTCCGTGATCATTCTGCAGTACTGCATTTCGACAGATACCTGAATACCGGTTATCGACAAGTTCGTCCTGGACACGATTCCATCATTGGAAGGTCAGAAGCCGATGGTTTTATCAGAAACACCTTCGGAGAGCAGCCGCCCTTAGTGCGACGGCAATTCTATGTGAGTCATCACTCGGTTTTTTTCGTTTCCTACTTCCGATTACTAACTCAGCCAGTAACCCTGGCTTAAATTCTGATGATCTTTCGTCGTTTCCCGTCGTTCGATTCACGCTTAGTATTAGGCAGCTTCCATCTCCTTTCGCATAGAGTCCAGGTTAACGTCTTCATGAGTCCTTCCATGATGAAGCTGCATATCCTTGAAGAGTGCTCCCCTCAGCTCCGTAGGAATACCATCGCTCCAGAAGCCATCATAGGGTAAAGGCACAGAGCTTATCCTTCACCACCTCTCTTATGAGCTCTTTTCTTATGGTTGCTGCTGTCTGACGCCGCAGTTCGCGCTCCGAAACTTATCACAAGGATGCTGAGCTATGGGCGAGTCAGACCCCAGACCCAGACGAGCACGCCATCTAGCGAGCGAATCGGTCAGCTTCATCTAGCTCGACTTTGAAACAGCCTACAGCATTGTGATATGAAATAGCTGTGCCTTCCAAAATTCCTTCCTCTGGTAGGGTCCCGCCTCCCTTCCCATCGTGCCTGCCTACCAGCTCCCTCAGTTCTCCCAACTTCCCATCACTTTTCGCATTTTTCTGCAAATTTTCCCAATTTTTCCAGTTTTTCCCTATAATCGCAGACGACCTCTTCAAGTAGACAGGGGGGTTCTCGCCATCAGATCGAAACCCAATCAAAAAGCAAGCAAAAGATCTCCCTCACAAGCCCAAGTAGACCAAATACCTCCGAAAGGATTCCCTCAGCGATACTGCAACTGCTCTATCGTTACTCGCTGGATCGTTAATTTCTTCTTCAAACTCATTCAAAATTTTCCTCAAATTGCTGATGTCGGAGACTATGAACGCCGATTAACCAGAATCAGTAGTCGTGCAAGTTGCATCCACAAATAATTATCCTCATGCAGATTTTTACCACAAGTAATCTCCGTACTCTTTAGAGAGATGACGGCACACGTGACATTTCGCAGCAGAGGACGGGATTCCTCCTGACTCGATTCAGAATCCATGGAAAAGAGGTGGGTTATGAGACTCGTTTCCCATTCGATAGATGAACGAGGTGGATGGTTTTCAGATGACATTTGTCAATCTCAACCTGCACTCGGTTCCGTTCGAAGATGTGAATGAGATCGTCGAACACGTTCAGGTCACGAAAGCTGCAAGGAAACGTAACGAAGAAATCGAAACTTTATTGAGAGAGTAAGTAGATTGTTATATAACGACATGTTGCAGCCCTTGTTAAAGGATCATCTCATCATCTGACAGTCTAGTTCGCTGTGCACGAAGGGTCCGTGTCAGACGGGGTGAGTGTTTGGGCGCGTGCTGAACTCGTTCCTCCTCATTTACTGAAACGAGCTTCGTATTACTTTGTTTCTCACACTGTGGTCGGCATACCAACTTCAACAATGGCAGAGAGGCGTTGGCGAATGGCACACGTCCATTGCTTGCTTGCATCGCTCCACGTCGCGTAGGCGAACTATAAGTACAGAGCGTAATTTTTGCGACGTTGGCAGCAGGCAGCCTCTCATGGGCCAAATCCGCTTGAGCAACTACGATTGGGATCTCAAGCCTTTTTGCTCATATGCCGCCCATAAAAGTTATTTGGTAATCCCGGTAACTTTTGACGCCATTACCTTTTTTCACCAAAAATCGATATAAACTTACGTTCTGGGGTTGTTGGCATCGTCATTACGAATGTGACACTCATTTTTGGCAGAGGCAGCACTTAGAACCTAATGTCCAGTGAGTGAGACCAACAAATGGCTCCAAATAACGCCTTGGCTACAAAAATGTGTTTCATATATTCGTTACTTCATTGCCTAAACAACTTAGTACGTAATGTCTTGCGACGTTTAGTGAAAAAGTGTGGTGGTGGCCAAACTGGCCCCTGTCTGGATGCCCGATAGGTGCTGGTGCGATGTGGTGAAGTCGTTTGTTCCCGTGACATCACGCCTTCCTTCACATATTCCGAAAGGTGCAACACTGCTTCGGTATTACGGTGTAATATGGTAGGTGGGTGGCGGCGGAGATGGTGCAGGTGACAAGTGGGCGCCTCACCATTCGCGAGCGGGCATCCGGGTTCGAATCCCGGGTCGACTCCCGCCCAGGCCAACCAAGCCTTCTACCCTCCGGGGACGGTGAATTGGTACCAGATTCGTCTGGGAGGATAAAACACTGACTTGTACATCGGCTGGCCACCGCAAGTCATTGTATAGGCCACATCGCATTCAATAACCCACTACGATTCTGAATGGAAGTAGAATGCGTGCCGCATCCCACAAAGGGATTGATCAACGGCGAGAGACTTTATCCTTTATCCTTTTATGGTAGGTGGTGGAATAAGGTGGCGTAGTAAGTAGGCCGATCCACCCCATGCGGTCTAATACCAGTCACGTTTGGACAAGACTGACAAGAGCTTCACTGATTCGATAATCTCCTAGGAGAGGGAATGTTGACCCGAAGTTTGGTAGTCTCATGAATCACTGGGTGATATTTGCAGTCCTCATCATTGCGAACTGTCGGAGGCGTGAGCAGCGCGGTTCGAGTCCGCGTTCGGCTCCCTTGCTCTACCAATATATGCCAATACCAGTTAATAAATATACCAATTAATATACCAGTTAAGTGTATATATAAGCATTCAGTCCCCTCGCTATTCTGAGGGTAAATTGAGCGCGAACTCCATCCGAATTTGCAATATTTCCCTCAGGGCACAGCATTCGATGGGAGGATTTTGGTCGAGCCCCCCCCCCCCTTTTTTTCAAGGGCTGGTACGACCCCCCCATGCTCGTACGATGGCTGACATGGCTGACTGTGGTTGTGGTTTATACTCGGCGAAAAAGTTGTCGAGCGGGGGGGGGGGGGTATGTAGTAGGCATGCGACGTACATCGTACGGGCGTACATAGTACCTATAACACAGAAAATTCATAAAAATCCATGAAGTGAACCACGTAACTCCTAGCCAGAAATACGACCCCCCTCCCAACAACAACCAAATACGACCCCCCCCCTCCAAAACGTCCGCAAAGCGAGAAAAATCAACTATAAAAATAAATTTTTCCCAGCCCAAATACGACCCCCCTTTTGGCGGCCAAATACGACCCCCCCCATAGGGAATCCCCAACCAATGCTGTGCCCTGCTTGGGTGTAGGTTAGGACTCCACGAGAGGTCACGGCAGCCATGTTTCGCCTCGCCGCGCGCGGCGATTGCTGCCCTGATTGGACAAGACCCATACAGTCGTGCGATTAAGATCCCGGTCCCTTCACATAGTTCTGGCATCACGTAATCTGCTTGGCATTTTGCAAACTAGAATATTCAATGGGACGTCAATATTTTTGAATGGCAGCTGTATTTATTCAACAGACTGCTGTATTTCTTTACTACTTACTTACTACTACTACTTTTCCCGTCTGGCCAATCTTAGGCCTTTACAATACCTTGCAAAGGAATGCAAAAGAAGGGTTCACCTTAAAGTGAATTTTTGTAGATTGCTGATGTATTCTCTAAATATTATTTCTATGTAAATGGACATTGCTTTATACTAATAGTTACACATCGGGCCCACTCCTTCCATAGTTTTCACACCTGCAAGTAATAAAGCAGACTGTTGGAAATCTAACGGACTATGCAAACGCCGCGCAGATAGCGAAAACATCGCGAGGCCCACTTCTCCTCTGCCGGCAGGCTGACCTCTCGTGGAGTCCTAACCGTTCCCCGCGCCCTGAATTTCCCTGGCAATAGGCAGACTTTTTCACAGTTTACCTCTTCGTGTGAACGTCATCACAAGTGATCTGGGTGTTTTCAGACTGGAGGCTGAAGGCCTACGTGACGATGCGATAATCGTTGGCGGAGCGTTCAACGCTCAACTTCATGAGACAGACTTGCTGACGGTTCGCGTGCACTTGTGGTTCCCATCTATTAGATACCTTTCTAAAAAGCACTCTTATAGTATCTAGCCAAAACGCAAATGGTACAAACGATAGCCAAAAAGGATGACACAGGGAAAGTCGAAGCCATTCAGCAATATGACAGACATGGCAGGGTAAGCTCTCCATTTTATTGTGAAAGGAGCAAACTAACGATAACTGGCCGGATGTGTAGCAGTTTCCGCTACAGACGCTGGGCGTGTCAAGGCGCTGACTTTGCGGCGGCCCAGACCCATTCTCCACCTCCTTTTGAAGAGGGCAAGCTACAACAATTGGTGAAAAATGGGCTGCTGTTGCGCCAAACCAAGCCCCGTGAAACGTCCCAATGTCTGTCTGCCTGTGAAAACTTTCAACTGGTTTGTAAACTATATCCTCTTCCAGAACGTCACGACTGTCGAACGCCAGCGATTCGATTTGCATTCCATCCATGACTGGTTTTTCCGACTTGGTCGAGGACAAATGGTTAAGAAGTGATTCTTTGAACTCAGTTTTCACGATTCACTGAATTATCATAACTCGAATGTTCCCGACGGCGTTCCTGTTTTCCAGATACAACGGCGAACTGGCTCCAGTCACATTCAAGGGTCAATTGATGGAACAGAGTGTTTTCTTCCAGGTGAGACGGTGTTGAAAACAGTGCATGGGACGTGAGTTACTT